TTCTCTGACAGGTGGTTCTGTTGAACGCAGAACGCGAATGCGGTCTGCACGCTGCTTTTTTTGCGCCGTGATCGGTGCACACTATTTTGCAGCAGTTCGGTTTTCCTGTTTGTGACAAGAGAATTTTGGAATTTTTTTATGATTGTCTTGTTCGGGTCATTCGAAAGTGGCAAACGAATTGACCCCTTGACATAGCATTTTCTTCGCAGTTGCTGCGACTAGAAATTTTTCGATCGCAATAACTTCATAGAAGGGAAAGAAAATCGATGCTTATCGTGTGCCTAAATTTACTCGAATGCTTGAATATTGATGACAAGAGATTGTGGAATTTTATTCCAACTTTTGAAGGACAGAATAACATCTGTACTCGATGAGTTGTTACTAGAAATTTTCATGACGGGTCGGACTCGTACGGTAAAGGGTTAAGTGGAGAAAATAAGTGACGGATGAAAGTTGATTTTGTAATCTGTATTATTTAAAGAACTTGGTTATCATTTTATTTAGATTTGAATAATGTTGAAATGTTCGAATTTAGAACAAAACTTTCGGTGACTGTATATTTAATTAATGTTGAGTTCAGGTTCCCATCAGGCTCTAGATGGAAGATTCTAAACGAAATCTGTTAAGTAGGAAGTTTATTTTCTTCTTGTAAGTCTGTTCTTTCATTATCGATATTTAAGCATTAAAATAAACGTGTACATTCTTTATCATCGATCGTGCATTTGATCCATCGAAGAAGATCCATACTTGCGCAATAAAATTCTCCATTAATTGTAATTATTTTAATGCGAAACAAAAATTGTTTACAGGCTGTCCTAAAATTATGGCACTTTCGTGAAATAAGAGACTCCTGAGGTGATTCGAAGTAACTTTTTCCTTAGCGAAAATGCAATCCACTGCTTTGTTTACGAGTTATTAACGAAAAACGCTGGCCAATGGGAGGCGAGCTCGCCTGGCGCAAGGCGGCCGAGCCAATCAGCAGAACTGGGCTTCGTACTGGGCTCCGCCTCGCGCAAGGCGAGCGCGCCTCTCATTCGTCAGTGTTTTTCGTTAATAACTCGTTAACGATGCCTCGGAGAAAATTTTTGTAAAGGAAAATGTTACTTCAAATGACCTTAGGAACCCTTTACTTTCCGGAAGTACCGTAATTTTGAGACACTCTGTATATCGTTTAGAGAATGCAGGAGCTGCGAAGCGTAATGAATCGAACATCACGCAACAGCGTCTTTAAATTCTTTAAATGTTTGCATCGATTGCAATTTCGCCAAATTGCAAATGCACCGACCCAATCATTTTTGTCGAAAATGTATAAAATGCGCAGCCTAGTAATTCCACACTTTGTTTCTTTAATAACTCGAGGAACTGTAGAACAAACCATCGTTCTTAATCTCTCTCTCTCTCTCTCTCTCTCTCTCTCTCTCTCTCGATCTCTCCACTGTCCCAAATCTTATCCCCTAATTTCCGGCAAGACCGCGGAAAATCCGCGGACGACTCTCGAAGCGGCGGTTAAGCGAGCTCCCGATTAAACAAAGGGATAAAAGGGCGGCACTGAATTCACGGGACAGAATGTCCTGGAACCCTGTTATCGGGCCGTTGAACGAAACGTTTTACGCAAAGAGGTGAGGGGGCAGGGGGAGAACCGTTTACCCACCACCGGCTGGCATTTAAAATCTACGAGAGACTGTTTTCCGGGATCGTGTTTCGTAATGGCGGTGGCGTGTACCGGGGAAGATTTAGTTGGAAAGTAAATTCGAGAGAGCGCCGTGGAATAGAAGAAGAAGAGGCGGGGGGAGAAGCGGGAGGCGAAAAGGGAACTTTGAAGTTTCTGAAAGGTAAACGAGAGTTTTAAGGGCGATTCGCGACGAAACCGCGCCGGGACGTAAAAGTTTATCGTTCCGCCGCGCGACGTTCCTTCCCGCGGAATCGATGCAAACTTCCAGAGTTCGAGAGTTGAAAACGGCGAACGTCGAGTGTTTTTATCCTTCCACCGGTTTGGCCCGTTTACGGACGTCTCTTTGACGGAACGCCCGTGTTTCGGGGATACCCAGTGATTCTTCGGATCGGCGACGAGCGCCGCATGTCTCTCCCGTACGATTCTTTTCGGCACTTAGCTCGCGATCCGACGCGCTTTTGTCCCGTCTACAGCTCCGAAATATTTGATCGCTCCATCGATAAACAATTCCGATCTCGCAGCAACGAGCGCCTCGGATTTTATTCCCCGGAAGTTCCTACGTGTTCTGAAAAGAAACGCCGTGGAAGGAGTCGCGAAATTATAGACAGCGCTCCGCGTCCTATTTTATCCCCGTTTTCACCTATTCGCCGTAAAATCTTCGGCTTTCGTTGTGACCGTTGTAAAATGAACTGCGGAAACACTGGACAATCGTTCTTCAAACTGAGAATGTTGCTGGCAGCTTCTCCTTTTCAACAATTAACACCAAATCTGCCCTACGACTAACGCGAATCCCTTTGCAAGGATGAGAGTACACACTCGATTAAGAAATTTATTGTATCATCTTCCTTCAACTTTCGAAGAAAAAATGCGAGGCTGGTCATTTTGATCGACTCGGTCCGTTTAGTGTCGATTGAAAGTAGGTCAGTGGAACCGGTTACTGTGGCGCGACCTTTGTGCTGCACCTTTGATTTATATTTATCAAATTGATATTATATTTATCGAATAAGGCGTATTCAATCTTCTCGTTCCTCTATATATATAATTTGTTTATTTTTCAATACAACAATTTTTATTCTTTCATTCCCTGTATTTTTAATACGACGAAAGCCTCGGCGCTGTTTCTGAAAACCTCGACGCAGAGCAATTTTCTTTTATATTGTGTAGAAACGGAGAAAATAAAGGGCAAGTTGATATTATATTTATCAAATAAGGCATATTAAATCTTCTCGTTCCTCTAATTTGTTTATTTTTCAATACAACGATTTTTATTCTTTCATTCCCTGTATTTTTAATACGACGAAAGCCTCGGTGCTGTTTCTGAAAACCTCGACGCAAAGCATTTTTGTTTATATTGCGGAGAAACGGAGAAAATAAAGTCTATTATATTCGTGCATGGAGGAAGCTTCGGATTAGCAAAGACGCCAGTTCGTGCGGGTCCAAATTCTTGTTTCGTGGAGGATTATTTTCATTCGAAGCCCGCGCCGTCGGAACGAACACAGCGCGGAGGCCAACAAATTCCGAATATAGAGGACCGATACAAGATCCGGTCGCTGGAATTTAATAGCTCAGCCTCGGTGAAAAAAAAGGGTCGAGCACCGCGCTATATTAAATTGCCTCAAAGTTCTTGGATAATAGTAATATCGCAGTTCTACCGTTCGTGTAACACCGACACGTCTGCCCAACAATGTCCGCGTTATTCGTCGTCCGGCTTTATTTCCTTTTATTTCGGCCGCCGCTTTTTTTTTCTCTCTCCGCTCTTCACGCGAAACCTATTATTTCAAACCCGACGCGGCCAATGTAATCTGGGGGAAGAAAAGTCGATAATCTGCACTACAAGCTGACCGAATTATTGTCGCTGGTTTCGCGCGTCGACGCGGACCGTTCCGTTCGGAGGATTACAACCAATCGGCTGCAGTATCGGAACGATATTAGAGGAAAAAGAGATCAATCCCGTTGATTCCCGTTGCATCTTTGCGGTGTCGCGTTGCAGTGGTCCAGAATGTCGGTGTCGTTTTTATTCGGCGGTTTTCCTTTTTCGTTGCGCGGTATTTCTGATTTCGAGTCGCGTCGACGGCTGACCGATGAATTTTGCTCGAATGGCAATGGAAACGTTCGATGATCTTTTGAAATTAATTTAGAATTAATTTGGAATTATATTTTGGAGGAATTGACTCCATTTCGTACTAGAATTTTTTATCCTCTAAAAACATAATGTTCGTACACAAGTTTTTAATTGATTTGATTGATTTGATGGGATGATTTAGATTCTTAGAGATAGATTGTTAATGAAAAGTGGTTTGTTATTTTGCAGATATCCCTTTTTTTATTTTCTCCTTCGATCACCGTTGTACGTTTTAAATCTTGTGTTTCTTATTTCTCCAAAAACTGTGCTCCTGTGCGAGCATTCTCAATTATTCGTTTTCTTTCCCATTCTCTTCGAAGTAATTAAGTATCAGTACTTCGAAAGTACGATAAAACTTCTATTTAAATTAATTTTTCGATAGCCTTTGTCGTTTGCGATTTATAAAGCCTCGTGCAGAAGTATCAGTTCGAATAAAGCGTTGATTTCTTCCTTGTAGAAAACAATACTGCTAAATTCTTGAATACGGTAGTGAAGCAGGTCATTGTAGGGTGACCAATTACTGTGCCTTTGGTTTATTTTTGGGCAATTAACTTATATTTATTGAACAAGACATATTCAATTTTTTGCTTCTTTTTGAACAAAAATAATTTTACTCTTTCATTCTGTCCATTTATGAATACAAAATTCTTTCATTTCATTTATTTTTTAAAATACAAAATACTTTCATTCCGCTTATTTTTGGATACAAAATTCTTTCGTTCCGTTTATTTTTGGATACAAAATTCTTTCGTTCCGTTTACTCTTGACTACAAAATTTGTTTATTCTTTCATTTTCTTTCTCCTCGAACACAATATTTGTTTATTCTGTCATTTTGCATATTCTTGAATACAAAATATTCTCTATGCTCCGGTTTCGTCTGTTTTCGACTAACAAAATTTACCATGTCTTATTCAACAAACACAAAACACGCCCGAGAACGAGCCAAAGGCACAGCGATTGGTCACGCCGCAGTAACCGGTGCCCACTGTGCCCGGTGTCCGATACACGTTGTGCAAAGTCCCATCGGCAAGTGAAAGCGATCAGGTGTATCGCTCGAAGATCTACAAACTACAAGCTCGATCGACAGATCGGTGCGCACGGTTCACGTGTCCCGTGAAAGTGTTAGAGAGCCCTCCACCGGTTACGGCGAGTCTACTGGGTGTTAAGTGTGTACCACAGCCGTCTACAGATCAAACAGTACTCACTGTCGAACAAGATCAGTCTCCTGGTTACCACCCTGGCTTCCAGGGTGTTTGGCCTACACGGCTTTTGCTGGTCCCCCGAATTCGGGGCTGCGGCCGAGACCGGCACGCTGCCGGTCGTAGCCGTGCCCTGATTCGCTTGCGGCTCACCGCTCGGCGATACCGCGCCATTTGCACTCTGTTCAGTCTTTTCCTTCTTCGGCTCTGCAACAGAAAAAAAAAATGTCCAGACCGTCAGAGACCGATGAGAACGCGATCTAAGGGTGCGCGCGCGCGCGCGCGTTAACTACTCGCCGGTCGACCCTCGATCGGAAAAGCAACCCCCGTTTTCCAATTCGTTCAATGTACCCCGGTATCTCTCCCTCTCTCTCCTTCTCTCTCGGCGTGTATTTCAGGCGTTCTTTTCCGTCTTTGTTGCGGTTTTTCGCTTCGAGCCCTCGGTTTCGATTTTCTCGGAGACGATTTTTCTTTAATCGGGAGCTCGAACAATGTCGCGGGGAGGCGTGTGGCGGTTTCTCGACGAGCGGGAAGCCGCAGGTATTCCGCCCGTTTTATCGGGACTAATCGGAGCGGATCGATGGATCTCTGCTCATCCGGCGATCTCTTTCCGTCTAGATCTTCGGGGGGCCGGCCAGCTCGCTGGCGAGATAACCCCGGAATATTGATCGAGATTGCGTTAATTGCGGGAACGCAGAGATCAGATTTCGCACTGGCTTTTTGACGGAAGTGTGGCTGTGTCTTGTGGCTATCGTTCTTGGACGCCAAAACTTCTGCAATTTGTGTAGGGTTCGTTCGGAGAACTATGGCGATGCATTCACTTGATTAGTGATAATTATGATCGTGGAAACGATTTAGCGTTTAATCGAAAGGCTCGCAAATCGATTTTTAAGTTGCGTTAGCTAAAAGCGGAATAGCTTGAAAACGTGTTCCAGAAGAGATACGTTTGAATTCGATGGAACGGTGAAGTTGTAACAATGTTATGATGTTAATATACCGAGGGTTTTAAAAATTTACGCTACATTTTTCTCAAAACCATGCTCCACAAATCAATCTTCAACACTCTTCGATAATAAACGTTACTTTGTCTTCAGAATGAAAATTATTGTTGGTGGTTACGAATGCGATAGACTGCGGATTTTTATGCAAAACAAAAATCGTCCGAGATAATTATAAGAGATTTGAGTTTGATAGAAATGTTTGTGCTCTTTTGGTCATTCGAATAAGTTGCATAAATTAGAAAATGCAACCTTCAATTCTACTGTCTTCGCAGTTTCGTATTTGGCCTGGTTATTTCAGTCGAAAATTTATAAAATCCGCAGTCTAATAATAAATGTCGGATAAATATAACAAATAATAAAATAATACAGTAAATTCTCTCTAATTTTCCTTGAGCTCGCGGCTCATTTTTATAGTTGCCGATCGTCAACAATTATAAAAACGAGGTGCAAGGCTCGTATCTTCTCTTCCCAAATTGTCCATTTCTGCGCGCAAGCTGAAGGAAGATCGGAGAGAATTTAGTGTACTAATCACAAAAGAGAAATTAATATCCTCACTTTCAGGGCTCTCATTGTAAACACATTCCATCGGCGCATGCTTGTCTACGATAGTACAGCGAAGAAAAAGCGGCAATTTCATTGTATAAATATTTTTCCGTTCGCTCTTTCCGCCGAGTATCTTCGTCAATTCAAATGAAATGTTAATAACACTGCTAATTACGATAAAACCCGCGATAACGGAAGAACCCACAGCATCTGATCCCCCTTTTTTCAACGTTATCCGCGCCTCTACGCTTATGGCACATCGAAAAATTACGCGAATCGAACAGCTTCGTTCCAACAGTCGCGCTCTAAAGTATCACAGTTAACAACTTGAAAAAGTCGTGATCTTTAGGAATTTTCTCTGACAAAATTCGTGGTCGTTCTTCCCAAACGAGCACCTTGCACAAAAATGGACAGATTTTACAACATGTAGTAATTTTTTTTACAGCGGAATCTTAAAAAAAGGCGCGAGTAACAGCTCAACTTCCGGGAGTCTACCTGAAACTTTCAACACGGTTTCTCAACGTTGGACCATTTAAATACAAAGAAATGATAAAATTGTAAACGGATTCTGCTAATATAGGATTTAATCTAGTAAACGGACAAAGGATCTTGCCAAAAAATTGATTTCGCACAAAATGGCAGCCGTTCTCGCGAGTCACTGCGCAGCGTGTTCGGTAAGGCAATTTCTGTAAGCTGAGCGATCGTTCTGCCATTTTTGAAGCTTTCCCAACGAAATTGCACAGTGCACGAGCATCGAAGTGTGGTACATCGAAGAAAGAATTCCTGAAGATAACATGTCCCTCGGACTGTTAACCAGCCATGAATCCTTAAATCGTTAAAACCGGCCTCGACGTTTCTTCCTCCAGCTGTTTCCCCTTTTATTTCATTCGTAACTGGATTTTATCGCGTGTCGGCGAGTCATGTTCGGCAAACAGCCGGGCAATACACATATCCCCGGGATTGCGATTCCTCCGGGCGGGATAATAAAGCCGCGCGTTTAGGATGTTCCGCGTAAACCGTGATTTACCGGGTCCGGGTGTCCCCGCGGCGAGGTTTATCGGCGAGGGAAAAAGCGCGTCGCGAACGGTGTTCACTGCATTAGTTTGTATTAGGCTCGTCCGCGGCGCGTTTGTCATAATTTCCCGGCGGAAAGCCCGTGCCCGGAAGTCGTTCGTTCGAATCCACTTTGTCTCGGAAATTATCTTCGTTTTATGACACTGTCCGCCGCGAGGAATCATTTTTTACTTTGCGCGGGCGCGAGTAAAAAACAACGGGAAAATGGCCCGGCAGAAGGTAATTCCCCGCGCCGGCACGGAAACGGGATTAACTCCCACGGATTTATAATGATTATAGAGTAATGCTTGTACTTTGCGTCGGCGTTTCGTTAACAGAGAATTATGCGCTTTTGGTTCGCGCTCGTCTGATCCTCTTTGCTACCCGTGCGCTTCTGTTTCCCGGAGGTTTACATTTGATTAAAGGGACGGAAAATGTGTACAAAGAAAATCGGATGAAAGTTTCGCCAAAAGGTTTGTTTACCGGATGAAATTGCATTCGTTGCGATACCGTTCGAAACACGGATTAACCGCTTGCCGTAACATTTTCTTCGTAGTTGCAACGGCTCGATGTTTTTTCGATTGTAATACTTTCTAGGAAGAAAAAAGACGATTTATAGGAATCGTGTGTCCTACATTTGCTTAAATGGTTAAATATTGATAACGAGAAATCGGAATTTTGTTCGGATCATAAAGAACGGTATAGCATTCATACTTAACAGGTTAATATCCATCGCGTGTCGGACTCGTCGAAGTTTGGGAAAGGGTTAACAAAGTCTTGAACACTTCGGAATATTTTCGTATCGATTCACTTCAAAGTCTGTTCAATGTTCGGCGAATATCTTGCAAAGCTTTCTCGCGTAGCAGCAAAAGCAGAAAACAAAACGCCGATGGTAAAAACGTGTCTTCGGTTTTCTCACCTGCTACGATGCGCGAAAATATTTTCGAAGAGAATCCGGCGATGGTTCGCGAACGTGGAGAGCCTCGAGCTTTAAAACAAGTCCGGTTTCAATGTTCCAGTAGTATCTATTACGAAATTATGCAACAATCGACCGCCACATTCGCGACCCTAATCATCTGTTACCCGCGAGAGGAAGCATCAACAAGATTTAACGGTTCAACACTCAACTTAGCTTGGCACTCAATTTTCATCGCAATCTAAGTTTGTTTACAATGTGCACGGTGCAAGGTAAATCGCGCTGTAATAAATCTTGTCTTCCTCGTTCTGATATTACGAAACCTGTTCAGATTTTGTGCAACTTTCGTTATCATTCAACACGTTGGACAGAGACGAATGCAAATTTCACAATACATACCAAAAATACACGAGTATTAACGGTATTATTTAATAACAGTGTTGTTTTAAATAACAGTTTAATAACAGTATTATTTTTAATTCGTTGTATAAATTATTGTATTTCAATTGTCATCAATTTACTGTATTTTAACTGACTTCAATTTATCGTATTTTAATTGACTTCAATTTATTATATTTCAACTGACTTCAATTTATGGAATTTTAATCTATTCTATTTTAATATAAATATTCTTTTCTTTTCTTGTTATTTTTATCTCTCTCTCTCTCTCTCTCTCTCTCTCTATATATATATATATATATATATATATATATATATATAATAATAATAATAATAATATAATAATAATATAT